CACTTTTACTCAAGTTGCTGCAAGGCCATTGGGCTGAACGAGGCCATCGGGCAGGGAACAAAAATGAGCAAACACAAGGCGAGAGTATATCTGGGAATCATAATTAGTACACAGGGATCGGAGAGAGAAGATAATTCAGCTAAGAGAGGAAAGAACAGCCTGGTATCTGAAAAGGATCTAGAATTTAAGAAATTTCTCTCCTAATACGTCAAAATCCATCAGTGTTTTGTGCAAAAGGTAAAGGAACATTATCCCTGAAAAACGGGCTATTGATACAACAATCTGCATGAGGCAACAATCTCAGTTCTAACCACAAACTGAATAATCTCTCCTTTTAAAATTATCTCCTGAGAAGACAGAGAAAATTGCAACTTAAAGGCCATTTCAGCCATTCCATAGGCATCTGCTACGAAGTCCACCAACTCCATCTCCATACACTGCAACATGAACTCCCACTTTCCGTACTGGACTTTAAAGCCTTTTCTCCACATTTTACTCTAGCTACACTTGAAATGGTTTTACACGGATATTATTTTTACCATTCAGTTACTGCTCCACAGAGACCAATGTGCAAACACCAGTGTGCAGTGACTAATAAAGTGCATATATATACACACACACACGAGATTTGTTGGATTTGAGTTAAATACTGTTACTTTCTAGTAAGGTATGTATTTCCCATTCAGAAGGCAAAACCTGCTAATAATCAAATTTTCCTCCATCTTTTCTTCCATGTTTTTCATCATTTCCAAGAGCCAATAATGCTAACATATTTCATCATACATCAAATGTGAAACTCATCATCTGACAAGTTACATTCAGTTTTGATAGCACTGTTAGCTATCCAGGCACATTTTCTGGGACAGGTGTGGAGATGTATTACATTAGACCAGAACAGCAAACCCTCCTGACCTACAGACTACGTACCAAACTTCATACATCTGAATGCCACAAAATGCATATTGCCCACCTCAGAAAACCACAGAGAAGTGAATTTCAGAACAGATGAATAGCAACAGTTCCCATGTTGGGGTGTCACTGCTTTAGCTTTGCTGCAGGATAGGACACCAGCAGTCCTTCCTGGCCTGCTTCCTCCCTCCCGCTGTTGAGGCTGAATGTACCTCGCATCCCTGCACCATGGTAATCTCACTCTGTGTCACACAAAGAAGCCATAACTGAACTGCATGAAGAGTCACAGGCTGAATACACCTGACTACGAAGGCTTGATTCTCAGGTGAATAATAGTGTTTACGTAATTACTCTGACTAGATGCAAGAGTACAATTAGGACTTTCTAACCATTACACATATCAGGCATGTTTGATAAAGCATTCGGAAAGCTATCCTATAGCTGAAGAAACAGTTTTGAAATAGATTACTTTGAAATTACATTGTTTTGAAATACTTCTAGAAGCAACTGCAAACAGTAATGACAGTTTCTTCAAAATAATTATTCTAAAAGCTCCTCCTTCATCTCAGCACGTTTAAACAGTTACACACCACACGTAAATGTGTCCCAATACAGAAGATCACCAAAATAATATCCACTAATCCTTGAAACAGTTTTGAAATAGATTACTTTGAAATTACATTGTTTTGAAATACTTCTAGAAGCAACTGCAAACAGTAATGACAGTTTCTTCAAAATAATTATTCTAAAAGCTCCTCCTTCATCTCAGCACGTTTAAACAGTTACACACCACACGTAAATGTGTCCCAATACAGAAGATCACCAAAATAATATCCACTAATCCTTGAAAGCACATACAAAATCTCAACATTTCTCTCTACAGCGTTTTAAGGGTTCCAGCATAGAGAGATCAGAGTCCCTCATATGACTATGTATTTAAATACCACTAAATTAGTACAGTTCATTGTGCACTTTTCTTACAACAAACCTATTCTTTCAGTTTATTATGCACTAATAATCGGGAAAATAAAAGAGATTAATAATAAGCTTTCAATTATTTTTTATGCCAAAATCAGCATTTCAGATACAAATCTATTTCAGTTCCAAGAAGGAACTCAAATATACGAGGAGAATGACTTAGTACTTATCCAAACCAATTGCAAGTTGTCGAACTGACAACATAAGAGTCTCATTTTCACTACTCAAACACTGCCATCCTCCAAACCTGCTCTCCCAGTTTTGTCCACTAAGGGGCTGTTGTTGTTTTTTTTTTTAAAACAACCAGCTTTTGTAATAACCCACCTAAATTAAAAAACACATATTCAAATGCAGCAGGGCCTGCCTACACACAATTTTTGTGCAGCTTTACCTATATCGCAAGGCACCCGTCAGAGCCTCTGGCGGTGGCACAACTACGCGGGAACAGAAGAGCTCCAGGACAAGAGAGATGCAGCCGCTGCCGGAGCGAGCCGCACTTTACACCCGGCGCAGCCGCGGGCCGGGG